ATGTGTATTTACAAGCTAATTATATCCTTATTAAACAGATAGCTCTGTGTTTTCTAATTTAAGAATGATGATGACAAGGATTAATTATTCGCGGAAATTCTTGGCAATTATTTTTATTTATCTCTCTGCGGGGAATGTAAAAAATAGTAATCAATTCCACTCCAGAATTTATTGTGTTATTGGAGCGGATTAAATTAAGTTCGTGGAATTTCTATTAATTTTGAGAGGGTAAAAAATATCCATCTCTATTAAATTGGGCACAACGCGCGAATTCTGTTTAATCAATAGTTCTTTAAAATGTCACGAGGTGAGTAGGCGTTGTGTCAAAACTGGGAATATTGAGGTTTATCAACATCTTGTAGGAATGGAAATGGAAAATTATTCAAATAAAAACGTGGATTTCAATTTGGATATTGCGTAGAATAGAATTTCATTTAAATAAATGTATTCTCATATTGCGGTTATCATGTTCGGTCTCCGAGCTGAATGTTGACAGTCTTGGTCTGTCTTTATTTCTGGGCCTATTACCTTCAGCGTCATGTAACTCACTCCAGCCACCTTCTTTATTTTTCTCTTTAGCAGTATGTAGCTCGCTCCATCCACCTTCTTTATTTTCCTCTTTAGCAGTATGTAGCTCGCTCCATCCACCTTCTTTATTTTCCTCTTTAGCAGTATGTAGCTCGCTCCATCCACCTTCTTTATTTTCCTCTTTAGCAGTATGTAGCTCGCTCCATCCACCTTCTTTATTTTCCTCTTCAGCAGTTTCTTCTTTAGCAGTATGTAGCTTGCTCCATCCACCTTCTTTATTTTCCTCTTCAGCAGAATGTAACTCACTCCATCCACCTTCTTTATTTTCCTCTTTAGCAGTATGTAGCTCACTCCAGTCCAGTACTTGAGGTGATTTATTTAAATTCGTCTTTCTTGTATTCTCTTATGTATTCCCCTTTAAGATCAGAAACAAATCTCTCCACCCTTGAAAAATTTTACCTCCCAATTCTCAAATTTTTTTTCTATGTTTGAGAGGTTTCAAATAGTTTCTGCCTTTCTTTCTACATTCTTAGTAATCATTTTTTTTACAACTAATTTGTATGCGAAAATATAAATCATTCATTTTATAAAATATTTTTAATTATGAAATATCTACATGTACGAGTATATACATATCATCTCTAGTTTCTTGTATTCAAGTAACAGCCTGTTGCAGGACGTCATAGTCTGAAATCTCGCCAAGATTATATCACTTTAATAAAGAATCTCATCGCCGTTAGCTTTGATTCCTTCTTCGAAATGATATCTGGCGATTCCTCCTCTTGTAAATCTGCCAATTCTCGCTACAATGTGAGCTGCCACAGCGGTTTAATAAGTCTAAACTTGACCGACGGCGACGTGGTTGGAATCTGTACAATTGCACTAGGAATCTCGGTATTATTTATATCCAAATCGTTTGAAGAAGGTAACAAAATAGTTTTTAAATGTCTCTTTCAAGTTTTATAAAATAGTATTGGAATAGTTTTCTTTAAATATGATCGCACAGTAGAAAGAGAGATTCATTTGGAATGTGGGAAGTTGTGGCCGCTATGAAGACCATTTGGGAAAAGATGTTTTGATAGTCACACATTGACTACTCTAGGCAAGTGACCGTTCGTTGAGCTACGTGTGGATATGGCTTTCAGATATCCGAAAAGAACACTATATGTAGTCGTCATCATTCGTTCATTTTATAGGTACATTAGAACACACCTCTCTCTTTCTCCATGAGAGGATACCTCTCTACAAAGGACAATTTTCATCGCCAGAATTACAATTTTTAACTATTTCGCTACTCTCTAGCAAAAGGACACCTCTCCTTCTACTTTAGCTCTTTAGCTCAGAGAGTTTGTTCTACTGTATGTGTTAAAAAAATGACAAATCACTGAAATATCTTCGTGAGGACATTCCTCCAACGGTAGATCTGGTTAACTCTATATGTGGTAGAGATCATCCAACAAAAATATTTGCCCACAGTAAAAGCGGCTATTAATTCCTTTTTATTACACCTACGATATTTTCTTCCAAAGAATTTTTCATTAATAAATTCCACAAGCCTTCTTTTCTATTCCTTTTCTATGAAGAAGCATTGATAAATTTTAAAATTTGACCCAAATATTAAAATCGATAATCTCGGGAGATAATAACTACGGTGAATGTGAAATATCGAATAAAGATTTCAATGATAATCAACTTTATATAAAATATATCTATTCGTTATACAAGATTGTCCCAAAAGTTCGTAAACACTTGCAAAAAAATTGGAATACCAATATTATTCACCGTTATGTATAATGTATTTGTATTATGTATAAAGTAATTGTATTATGTATTATATATTATGTGGAAAAATAGTACAAATGTATTATGTATTCGTCGTAATAATATTATTCGCCAAGTAATAAGAAAAACAACGTTTTAGGAAAAACGCGAACTTTTGGGATAACCTTATATTTAAAATAAAAGCATATTTTGGATCAATAAATTTATTAAAATTCAATATTATAAATGGATTGCTCTATATTTAACAATATATATATATATATATATATATATATATATATATAATCTTGTATTTGAGTTACTTGGAGATCTATCGTGTCTAAATATTGAAATGGAACTGCATGGATTTTAAATAAAACCGTTAAAATATTTTGAGGGAATTTCTACCTCTTTTTTTTCAAACTAAATACAACTATTTTTTTTCTCAAACTTCTATCCATGTATGCCATTTAAAATATTTCAGATTACTCTCCTAGAAACCGAGATCAATAATTTCGCGAGCAATAAAATCTGTTCAGACGGGAGAGGTGGTTTTACATGTTATAGATCAGCAGATAAGCCTCCGGTCAAAGTTTCCATATGTATGTTGGCATAGATTTGACATAGTCACCTTTTCAGCTTTCTTTAGCAAACTCTGACGATTTTCTTGTGGGGCTATCGTGATATCAAATCTCATCCTGGAATGACGAGGGGCATAGCCCGAAACAACGGATTGTGTTCTGAACTCGCCAAAGCTGATGTTGTGGCTTTGTCACCTACCCGAGTCTACTAGATTGTAGAGGCGGTCAATATATGGCTTATCTTTAACATCTATTTTGACGTGAGACATGACCTTTATAGATCTATTTTCTCATGGAAAAATCTCCCTCTATACCAATAAGGGATAGATTTTGTGAATGCCCGTATATATAATACCTGTGGTCTGAACATAGCTGCTACTTTCAGTAGATCCTCTTATAAGAGACCAAAATACATTTCTACTCCATGATTAAATCGTCTTTAGAACACATGTTTGATTTAACAAAACTGGCCGTTCAGGAAAGTGGTGGTCGTTAATAGGAGGTTGTACTCTATTCCCCTTGGTTTCGTTGAGTTATAAAGTTAAATATTATAACTCAAAACACATTCCAACGTGCAACTGAAAATTGATTATGGCAAAGCGCCATCTATCGGAACAATGATTGTTTTATAATTTCCGTAAATTGGCCATTATACCTTTTCATTGAATTAACAAGAAAAGAGCCAATCCCATCTCGGACACAATCTTTGTTAGAACCCTGATTTTTCTACTTTTGGTCCATTTAATTGAGTATTTATCACTGAATTTTCTGTGATCAAGTTGAGCGCTCCATTCAAAAGGTACTTACCTCTACATCCTCTCTCCTCCCACTTCCAACACCTATCTCAATAAATCTTCATTACCGCCATTCTCATTTCCGAGTTCCTTCAGTAATCGGTGCTATCATTCTTATAATCGCCATTTACCTAAACCCCCTTTTATTCCCTTCTACTGGAGGAGGGTCAGTCTCGACTTGTTCTACCATTGTTTGACTTCGAATCTTTCATTATCTATAGTATTCTTAATATCGCACACAAAACTGAGCCCCCTATATAAGGAAAGGATAATCAGGGAAGATATCATGTTCGCGGTCATACACCGCGGTGAAAGAGAGAATCTCCTCAAGCGATTCTCGCCTGAAAACAAGATTATTCTCTCCAAATTCCTAAACACTGTCATCGAGCAGGTTGGGGACAAGAAATCCAGAATGAGCAAGGGCCTGTCTAAACTCAAGGCGGCTTTAAGCTCCAGATAGGATCCAGACGTCCCTTCGGAGAAGGCTTCGTCTGTTGTAAATATTTTTCTTTATTTTAAATCTAATTTTAAAACCTCACTTTGCTGTTGACTAGGTGTCAATAAACTTGTTTTAATTGTCAATTGTCACACACACGGACATATATCTTTATACAGTAATATATCTTCAATATAAACCTCTCGTGAATTATTCAATAATTAGGATTTTTCTCTGTGTGGTGGCCCTATTACCATAACATCTGATTTCAAAAATAAATAAAACCACCTCAGATTCAAGTACCATCTCCTTGTCATTCCGTTTGTGTTCCACACTTAAACTTTCCTAATTTTTAAGTTCGCCTAACAATTTTTTTCTATTTTGACCACTAGGTTCCCACATAATGATTAGCGTGAGACGTTAATTAAGGCGAGAAATTAATTAAAGTTTTCAACTTTTGTTATTCCCCCACGTTGAAGTGGTGCTTGACTGACTCGACAGCTCATTGGTTGGTTGAGTAGTACGTCATCACCCTCCGCTAACGCTGATTGGTGGGAGAATTCTCTCTCTTCTTTGCATATTGTCGCCATGTGTTTCATTAATAGAAAATAATGGGATTGTTATTTGCATTTTTTACTTGTCTACTTTACATCACTTTTATACTGGCTTATAAAAAGTATAAAAACAGAGGGTTTTCTTGTGATTATTCCTACAGCTGAAAAAATGCTTGTCTTTTCAAAAACTTTTAGATTTTCGGTTCTCACACAATTGGTTTACAACACTCAATATTTAACAATAGATTATTTTAGCTTGTATTAGCTTTTACGATGAATAACAAGCAAAACGCTAAGCGTTTGTGCCACAAAAATGCATTTAGGAAGATAAAGCCGAAAAAAAAAAAAGACCTGCCAGGATTGGAACCTGGAATCTTCTGAATCGCAATCAGACGCGCAAACCGTTGCATCACTATACAGTTTATACAATATCAATCTAAACATTTAAACTACCTTGCGTGAGGTTTTAGAGGTTTGATACACGTCAAACCATTGGTCGATTGTTTCAATTACGTATTCACTGACAATATAGGTCTATGGGGAGAGAGTTGGTAATAACTTTACCATATGTATGACCAATAACGAGTTTTTTTTTAATTTTTATTTCATTTTATTACCATTTTATTGGTTCACTTGTATTGCGCGATATTTCTCACCACTTGTAGCTAATGGAAAACTATGAGCAAAGTAGGCTGTAAGTAGACGTGGAATGAGGGGATGTCCAAGTGATGAACGCACGGCGAAGGGATACAACTACAAACTTAAAGAAAGAGAATCCCGTTCACCGCAACAACTTTCTTCAATAATTTATTTAGAGTCCACCGCAAGTTCTCTTCGAGTTACATTACTTACATTATTGTCTTATGTTTAACTTAAACCTAACTGGCCTTGTTGCCTTATTGTTTGCGGAAGAGCATGCTCAATTAAAATATTTATATGTAATTCTACTGTCCTAAAAGCGCTCTTGTCCATAGTTTACTTGAATAGCATAACCAAGATTTCCACCCTACTGTCCTAAAAGCTTATGTCCATAGTTTACTTTGATACCCCATAACCATGATTATACCCTACAGTGTCTGGTATAGGCAAAATGGTCCAATACAGTATTAGAGCTTTCAAAAGCGCGGTATGGCAGATTAAATTGGCAAAACCGCTGGGAGGGTTGTTCACTGATGAGCCAAGGCTTCAAAATATTTTTTTCATTGCAATAAGGGCAGTATAAAGTTTTTTTTTTTGGAAAAAAGAAACATTCGGGTTTAATGGTTCTATTTCTTAAAAATAGATGGCGCGGTAAACTCCTCCAGGCCTGTCCTCTTTTTTAGTCGCCTATCTGTATCTATCTAAACATTTGAAAACATTTTGTAAAGCCTACAATACATTAATCCTTTGTAAAACGATACTTGAAGTTACACCGCATGAGTTTCTTTTCCACGAAAAATCAAATTTTTATTTCAAGGTGAAACATAGACTATTTCTAACCTTTTTGGATGAGGTATGAAAGGATGAATTATGAAAAGTAATGATGAACGGAAAAATACGTCCAGGGTAGCCTAGTGGACATGGCATCTGCCCGGTAAGCGGAACATTGTGGGTTCGATTCCCATCCCTGGACACTTTTATTTTTCCGTTCATCATTACTTTTCATAATTCATCCTTTCATACCTCATCCAAAAAGGTTAGAAATAGTCGATATTTCACCTTGAAATAAAAATTTGATTTTTCGTGGAAAAGAAACTCATGCGATGTAACTTCAAGTATCGTTTTACAATCACAGGCCGCAGTGTATTATATTACATTAATCCTTTGTATCAAATAAAGGGGAAAACACCAGGTTTCCGAGGATAAAAGATGTCTTCTAATATTTAATATGGCTCTCTAGCTTCCAATCCGAAATTTAGAGCGAGAGTCACAAACCCAAAGATTTTAAAAAATAAACTTATCTCTGAGGAAGAGCCTGATGTACACTTTAATGAGTAATACCATTGGTATTCCATGGTCAAATTTTATTATTTCAATTAATTATTCACTATATATAGGTCTATGAGGAGTTGAACATCAAATTTATTTGCCATTTTTACCATTCTATAATTGTGTTTAAATTCATTAATTTTATATATATATATATATATATATATTGGTGGATGGCTTTTCTTGATTTATCAAGAAATTGGGTTGGCCAAATATCACGGAGCAAGCTAAATAAAGGTTTAGTTTATTTTTGCTCCACTAGATGGTGCTCTGCCATTTAAAAAGCAAATGTGCTCGTGGTCAGGAAATGCCTTCTTTATTTTTAATATATATATATATATATCTTGCTGGATATATTTTGAAAATAATACATTAAATATAAATTTTTAGTTCTTTACATTTTTTTTTTTACTTCACCTTTTTACGCCTAATTCCCACCCCCCCCCCCCCCCCCCCCCCCTATTGATCTATTTTTAACAAGATAAAACTTTGTTTGCTGCACGCATATTAAAAAAATAAAGGCTTCCAAACGGACTTTGTCAAAATGTCAAAAGAACTTATGCAGAAGATTATATTTTGCGGCAGACGAGTTTTAAATTAAATCAAAGAAAGCCAATATGAAAAATAACATTTGTTTAACAAAAATACAGTTTTCATTTAGTTGCTATTTATTTCTTTATTCTTTCCATTTTAAGTTTTATAAAATGTTGGTGTGCTCTCTAAAAATGTTTTTTTTTTTTTTTTTTTTTTTTGCTTAAAAAAAAAAGATGTTACTCACACACACATATAATGATGCATTAGCGCGCCATCTGTTATGAAAATTCGAAACTATTTTAGACGCGTATGATTCTTTTACAAATTAAACAATTTCTAATGCCCTTACTGCAATGGAAAAATTAATGGGAAGGCCTGGCTCATCAGTGGTGAACCCTCCCAGCGTTTTCGCTAGTTTAATATATATATATAATATAATCTAAAAACTCAAATATTTCTATATTTAAAACTATATATTTTTTATTTTATTCATTGATAATTTTACTTTGGTTATCATCGTTTTGAGAAAGACTTTCAGTTTAGTTGTATAGTTTTGTTGTAAATATGCGTAGTTAACATATCAATCCTTTTAAATCACTAATATAGGATTAACTTTATAAATTCTATATAATGTGAAAATAACTAATGTGTAATCTTTCCTCAAGTAATTGAAAATAAAAGCTACTTGACGGTAAATAATTATCTTTTTTTTTATCACGACTGCACCTCAACCCTTTATCTTATCGATCCTTTGTCTTATCAACCCTTTATCTAACAACAACAAAAAATATTCATAACATATATCTCTATATATATAAAAGTCAATTTCTGTCTGTCTGTCTGTCTGTTTCGCGATAAACTCAAAAACTACTGAACCAATTGGTACCAAAATTTCCATACATAGGTAAAAGAATACGGGAAGACGATAGGCTATTTAAAAAATATATATAAATCAATTATTAAAACTATATATTCAAATTATTCAACTTAGCTCACGAGCAGCGCCCTCTAGAACACGTGACGTTTTGACGGCGAGGGGCGCCCATTGGCTGCCAGCGAGCACGTGACCTCCCTGCCGCCGGGCACCCCCCCCCCCCTCCGAAATAATGGAATCGCCCGGCTGCCGGCCGGTTGGCCATTTCGAGTTCCCACCGCGCGCGGTCCTGGCGTTGGGTCAATCGTCTAGTATATATATAAAGGCATATCCAGACCGCTCTCACATGAGCATTAGAGATGACATAGCGAGATCAACAACAAAAATCAACTAAACGTTTACACACATATAAATGTACCAAAAGAGGCACCTCTCCCTTTAATTGTGCATCAGAACGATGGCATCACCCTGATAAAAAAAAAACTTTACTAGTGATGATAAAGAATGAGCCACGACACCAGTTTGGGCTAATTCAGACAAAATTCCAACCTGTATACCATGGTTTTTGGCCCTCATCAGTACCTATACATCAAAAGAGGCACCTCTCCCTTTAAAATGCATTAAAACAATGGATTTCAAAAGATGTCTCTCTTTTGGTATATTTGATAGAAACCCAGTGTTGTTGTACGTTCTTTATCGCCAACAGTACGTTCTGTACTGGGCTCATAAATAACATTTACTCTTTTAGTACTTTTTTAAAATATAAAGAGCCCTTTTTTTCTGGCACATGAATACCATCCTCCCGCAACTGTATGTTGTACATATATTTATGTGAAATCAGTATTTAATATATATACCGAAAGAAGTAAATATTGAGTGTGTGTGTTCCTGCAGAGTACTGAGTGTTCCTGCAGTACTGAGTGTGTTGGTGTGTGCAGGAACAGATCCAGGAGGTGATCGACGCCATGTTCCTGAAAGAAGTCGAGGACGGGGACGTTATTATCCGTCAGGGAGACGACGGAGACTACTTCTATGTCATTGAGGAGTAAGTGCAGCACACTGCACTCGATGATGCTAGTCTCGAATAACGACCACTTGAGATTGAATCCCATACATTGTCTTCTAAATATCGCATCAATACTCTGGACAAGTTCAAACTTACAAGTGGGTGCAATAATATAAAATATAGGGCTCTTTCAGGTTCAAGTACTTGTACTTTCCTTGTAAGTGTCGAACTGTGCTTTGTGTCTAGACATGTCTACACAAACCCATGTCGCACAATGTTTACCAGGGCTAATTAAAGAGATATTCTACGGTATATTGGGATTACCTCAACGTAACTTTTTTTAAATTTGAATTATCCACAAATTGATCCGCTCTAATGTTCTAACAATATACAGAGAATGTGTTTCTTAGATAGAACAAGGTAATTAGCTGTATGGGTTTAAGAAGGTTGTTGAGTATAACAAGATGGCGGTCCTATGCTGTCTGGGAGGTAGCACAAGCGTAGACAATGTTACATCGTAAATAGACTCTTGAAATTGTGATATTAATTTGGTAAGTTGTGCAAATTAAATCAACACTAGGTATATCTGAAGATTTATTTTGGATTCTCCCAAAAGCACAATGTCAACAAACACTAGGTATATGTAAATATGATGGTGTTGAGAAGTTTATAGTGGATTGAAGAAAGAACACACCGAGAAGCTGGAATTGAGAATTTCACAAGTGTGGAGAGAGAGGGGAGTCCTGTATTCCGCGAGTGACGTTACGTCTGGTCCAACTGTCTGTTCAGTTTGTCCTGGAGTGGAAGGACATTTTCAACCTGCTGTCTGATGGCGCCAGTAACGTGATATGCTGAGTTCTAAACAGATTGTTCAGCCTAGCTCTTTCTCTAGCATCGTTTGGAGTCTTATTTGGTACTATACACAATAAATACTCCATAATTTACTAAGCCAGTAGGAGAGCAGACTTTTCTCGAGAAAAAACTCTCTTGTTTTCACATATATGTATCCAAATATCAGGGAACAGGCTTAAAAC